CTAAAAAGCTCATATATTTTCTCTTAAATTAGCCCACTTAATACGGACACACGGATAATGCAGACACTTCATCATGTCCCTTTGGTGTCCGTATTAACGGGGTTCCACTGTAATTCCTAATCTTTCCCTTTCAGTGGTAAAAGCTTAATTCCACAAGAGGCCCTTAGTGTACCAAGTGACTGGCAGCAACAGACTGGTAGTGCAGAGCTGATAAGTGTGCGTCCAGGCTCGGCTGAGTGGGATCATGTTCAGCGAAGCTTGAAAAGGAGTTTGAGGGCAGCCCGGGTTGTTGACATACAACGGGTACAGAACAAGTGGCTTTACAGGAAATATGCAATACAGCGCCATTTGTTGAAAGACAAAAATGGTCAGTCAGTTAGTTCAGTCAGTTAGTTCTCATTGTGTTGTGTAAAAGGGTTCTGTAGGGACCTGACAATATGAGGAAGACAATGCACTGTGAAGTTTGCTGTAATTGTTGGAAAAAGTGGAGAACTCTTTTAAGGTCAGAAAATTCCTGGTCATGTACAAAATTATTAATGTCTTGTTTAATTTAGGAAATTGTATTTTAAGCTGGCTACAGGTTTGTATAGCGATTGAAAAGATTATTCCTGAAGTTACGTGTATTTTGATACAGCAAGTTTATAAACTTCCTTAAAAGACCNAAGAGGCCCTTAGTGTACCAAGTGACTGGCAGCAACAGACTGGTAGTGCAGAGCTGATAAGTGTGCGTCCAGGCTCGGCTGAGTGGGATCATGTTCAGCGAAGCTTGAAAAGGAGTTTGAAGGCAGCCCAGGTTGTTGACATACAACAGGTGCAGAACAAGTGGCTTTACAGGAAATATGCAATACAGCGCCATTTACTGAAAGACAAAAATGGTCAGTCTGAGTTCTCATTGAGTTGTGTAAAAGGGTTCTGTAGGGACCTGACAATATGAGGAAGACAATGCACGGTGAAGTTTGCTGTAATTGTTGGAAAAAGTGGAGAAATAATTTCTTTTAAGGTCAGAAAATTCCTGGTCATGTACAAAATTATTAATGTCTTGTTTAATTCAGTAAATTGTATTTTTAGCTGGCTACAGGTTTGTATAGTGATTGAAAAGATTATTCCTGAAGTTACGTGTATTTTGATACAGCAAGTTTATAAACTTCCTTAAAAGACCACCATAGTAAGCAGTAAGACCAGGTTTTTGTGGATCGATAATTTTCAGACCAAAGAGGTCCCACCACATTTATCTCATTTAATATATTGTTCACATACTTTAATTGTACTTATTTTCCCCTTCACAGGACCTACATGCATCAATGAAAAGGAGTTGTTTCATGGTACCAGGCTAACAAATCCTGATTCCATCTGGATGGGTGAAGATGGTTTTGACATGCGGTACTCTGAAAATGGCATGTGGGGACGTGGCACTTATTTTGCTTCAGAGGCCGCATATTGCCACAAAGGATTTGTGTTTTGTGTTGCGCAAACGCAACACTTCCAACTTTTTCTCGCTCATGTCCTTACAGGAGACAGTGTTTTTCTACGCCCTGACGCAAGCATAAAAATGCCTCCTCTGAAAGGAGCATCTAACATTCGCTATGACAGCATTAATGGAGTCACAAATGGTTGTACAGTTTACATTCTCTATAAACTTGACATGGCATATCCAGCATACCTTATTACTTACACTCTGAGCCATTAATCTTAGACCACACGGTAGTTTGAGTAAAATGCAGTACGCAGGACTCTGAAAAAGGTGCTGACCAGTTGTCTGGGACAAGTAGATTTTCCTGCTAGGCAAGAAACTTTTCATTGTCACTTGCCGAATGGGCAAGGGCCTATGCAAGTCATCTCCCAACTAAAATTATAAAAAAAAGAAAAGAAAACAGTAAACTAAGACTTGCCTAGGGCAAGCAAAATTTGAAAGCTTCTTGTGCGAAGGGCAATCTGGCATTCAAGTTTTTTTGGAGCCCTGAGTAAGGTTAAAAATTTTAGTAATTTTAGGAGACCCTGTTGGGATAGAAGTCTGACAAGTTACAGGACTCCTAGGTTGGTAAATTGACCATGAACATGAAGACTTGAGCTCTAATTTTGGCAATGAGGTGAGTGTCCAAAATCGGACGGGGGAGATGCATACCCTAACCCCTCCCCCTAACAGGGCCTCATTTAGGTAGACCTCTTGCTACTGTTACAAAATGACACTCTAGTGTAGAAAAGTTAGTTTAAAAAGTATCACAAAAATACGTTCAGTTAGTACCAGGACTTTTGTTGATGTTTTCAGCAGGAGGGTAACTGTTTTTCACAGGCGAGCAAAACTATTTGAAACACTTTACCAGATGTTCAAACCAGGCAGGCCCTTAATGAAACTCCTGTAGTACTTGCAGGACATTGTTCTTGAGTTGCTAAAAGTAAGATGGGGTACCTCTATTTCACGAGGGCAAGGTTTTATGACCAGATTCATCACAAACTGTAGTGGAGTTGCTTTCAATTGTTTAAAGAAAGTACATGATAATTTTTTCGAACATGACTCAAGAACTAAATTTTGCAAGGATTACTCTCTCTTGTTAGCCTAACTTAGGGTATTTCTGAGCATGTGTTGTTTTTATT